ATGGGTAAACTAATCATAGCTTACATCTAATCATATGCTTTTACTTAGAACTTTTAAAAGATGATTAGATGTAAGCTATGATTAGTTTACCCATCTACACAATCTTTTTCATTTTCTTTTAAAATCTGCCCTTACCACCATTTTATCTCCATCCATCCATCCATCCATCCATCCATCCATCCAGCCAGCCAGCATCTGTCTTTCTATTCTTCCCTTTCTCCCGCTCTCTCCATCCATCCATCCATCCGTCCATCCGTCTTTCTATTCCTCCCTTTCTCCCACTCTCTCCATCCATCCATCATCTCTTTCTATCCCTCCTGCTCTCTCTTTCTATCCATCCATCCATCCATCCATCCATCCATCCATCCATCCATCCATCCATCCATCCTCTCTCTTTCTATTCCCCCCTCTCTCCCTCCCACTATATTATGTGTGAATACATAATCAAATCATGTCCCACTGGGAATAAGTTTTTCTCAAACAACTAACCATGATTTACCGCAGCTGGGCGGGGCATTCCAATTGTCAGATCACATCCCCAAGATTTTTTTTGGAAAACCTGGTGTTAGTAGCTTTCTTAAGGGCCAACAGGATTTGATCCCTAGAGCAATGGCTCCCAATCTTTTGGCAGCAGGGACCAGTTCCATGGAGAGAATTTTCTGCGAACCAGAGAGGGTACGGTTTCATATGCTGCCTGCAGATAGGGCTTTGCTTGTTTGCGTGGCCCGGTTTTACAAACTGGTGCCAGTCCATGGGGGTTGGGGGGACTCTGCCCTAGAGCAGGGGTCACCAACCTTTTGGACCTCAGGGACCACTACATTCATAATTTAAAATCCTGTGGACCACTATGAAGTAGTGACGGGATGGGATTCTTCAGTCACTTAGCTTGGCTGTCTGTTGGTGGAGAGAAGCGCCCATTCAGTTAGGAATCTCAAATACGGCCAAGAATGAATGTTTGCCTTGTAGTCAGCTGGGTGCTAGATCTTCCCCCTGCAAGCTGTGTCTTTCAAGGAGCCCGGCTGAAGATTTGTCTGCCACTAACTGAAGCACCTGGACTCTCAGGGAGAGAGAGACTGGAGCTACTAAACAGGCAGCTAAGTTAAGAGCCTAAAGGACCCCATCTCATCAGTGGGTGGGATTGATTGCTTTAGCGGGCCTTCCCAGGGGGCATAGTTTGAGGATCCTGATTTAGTGCAATATAAAAAATGCAAAAATGTAAAGAATTTTCTGCAGACCACCAAAATTTTCTCGTGGACCACCAGTGGGTCCAGTTGGTTGACCACTGCCCTAGAGGATATATTTCAGAGAAGGAAGGCAGCAACAAGCAAGGTCCACTTTTTCTGAATGTGGGAACCCTCACTTCTTCTTGTTCAGTAGATGGATACTGCTGGGAGCAGTATATATAACTATATAATATGTTAAAGGTGACAACCAGCACTTTGAATTATACCCAGTAGCCAACTAGTGGCAAATGCAGCATTTGCAGTAGAAATGATATTGTGCAAAATGAGATGTACCCCATAACAACCAGTTTTACCACATCCTGAATTACTTGCAGCTTTTCGGTAGCCTAGGAGGAATACATTGCAATAGTCCAACTGAGAGTAGAGCAAGACATGGGAGACAGTGACTGTAGCCTGACCTGGATTTGGTGCACCAGATGGAACTGAGCCTCCAGGTCACAGGTGTTACTGATCAGCTCTGATACATGTAATATTTAAACCAATATTTTGCTTAAAATTAGCTTTTCTTAATTGCTGAAATATTCTAACCACTTTGGAATTGATTAGTATTGAAATATCATTGTAAAATTGAAAATGCTCGGGATGCTGACAAATCCTAATACATCGCATAGAACCTTGTGAATATGTGAACACACGAGAAAGCTTGACTGCAGAAGGGGAAAAAATCCCCTAAAAAGATCTAAAGGATCTACCAAATTCTTCAAGTTATGATAGCTACTAAAAGGCCTTGCCTGGTTTTCTGATCATGTGATATGTGGGAAGGTTTCATAAATTAGCTTGAACAAAGATGCTCCTGATGTATGTGTATAATAGTTTGATATTTATGTGAAAATTCCATGGCTAGAAATTAATATCTATAAAAATGGGATCAGGTGACTAGAATGGGATTGTGGGAGGAATACAAATTTCATCCCAGTAGTTTAACGTTGAAACCCAGAAGGAAGATCTGTGGATCTTAATACTTTTTAGCTGCTTCTTTCTTTGCTGCAGAGCTATTATTTCTATAATTTTTCAAGTGTGTCTCTGCAGTTTTTAAAAATGCCCCTAAAAGCTAAAGTTGCTAATATGCATGTCCAGAGGAATTCATTGATGGTCAGAGGAGAAAATTCTTCAGCAGGAAGTAAGTATCTAGCAGAAATCTGTAAGAACTTAAATCAATGGGAAACCTATTAGTATACTTCCTCATAGTAATTAGATGCCATTTATGAATCAGCGGTTTCTTACTTTCATACTAGATTTTTTTTTAAAATGAAGTTTATACTTAACTGGGCAGCTGAACTGATTAACTTCTGGATTTGTTTGGCAGTCAGAATAATTAAAATGTAATTCAGAACTAATAACTATGGAAGTTGCCAGATCACTGCCCTCTTTTGCTTAAAATTGGAGAAGGGTAGTGCACTCAGCAAGTCATATTTTAGACTCTTGGTGCAGTCTAAACATCACATAAATCTTGTGTTCTTTTCACTAGCGATCCCACTGCCCCAAGGTTGTTACACAAAACAAAATAGCAATAAAAATAGGTAGTGAAGTTAAAGGCCTATGATAAACCTAATCAAATTTTAATACAATGGATTTCATTGGCTATGGACTACATTTTCATATTATTTGCAATTATTGTGATATATCCTCTGATTCAACAATCATGAACAAGAGCGCCTCCCCAATTTAGTCTACAAAAATATATATATACTATAATGAGCTGCGGTGGTGTAGTAGTTAGAGTGCAGTACTGCGGGCTATCTCTGCTGCCTGCCAGCTGCCTGCAGTTTGGTAGTTCAAATCTCACCAGGTTCAAGGTTGACTCAGCCTTCCATCCTTCCAAGGTGGGTAAAAGGAGGATGTAAATTGTTGGGGCAATGTGCTGACTTGTAAACAGCTTAGAGAAAGCTGTAAAGCACTGTAAGGTGGTATATATATGTGATATTGCTATAATATAAAAATATTAACAAAACTAAAAACACCAGTTTTTAGTAAGCAACAGCAAATCAACCTAATTCTTTCTGCACATGAAATTTTGGAAACTCTTTATCAACACCTGGGACTGGTAATTTGTTTTATATTTCCTCTGACATTGCTAGAGCATTCTTCTACTGATTTTTCTGACATACTCATTTCTGGCAAGGTAGTGCTTGTTATAATCATCTATAAAGTCCTCTGTTTTATAGATGGACCACTTATAGTAAGTACCTATCACTTCATCTTGGAGCAATGAATCCCATAAATTAGAAACAACAGAAACAACTCTCTTGTATTTATCAATTTTAGGAAGAGTGGAAATCTTTAATTTCACCTCTATACTTTGAAGATTGCTATTCCAGGGGGGGAAAAAGGAACTGGCATTGCCTGGCTTTTATAGTTAAATTGGGAATTACAGGACTATTGGTTAGATTGGAAGTAAAACAAAACATTCTGGCAAATTACACTCTTGCAAGACTGCATGGAATTCAATATGGCCATGCTAAGATTTCTTTTACCTTACTTTTTCTTTTGAAATAAGCATTACGATACATAAAACGCTGACAAAATGACTGAAAGCTAAAAATCAATCAATGGTGCTTACCTCATCTCTTTCATTCCAAACATACTGTGGTAGGATAGGTAACTAATGTTCATGTTGACGTCTATGAGCATCAGTACTCAAGGCTACTAATATTCTTAAACATATTGGAAATAATTAATGACTTTGCTTTAACATTTATTGTTATGCTAATCAATAATTTAGTTTATACATGCATCCATAATTTAGCATAGTTATTAGTTAGCATGATCATCTCCTGATTTGGTATGTGGATAGTAATGTAATTATTGCTGCTATGCTGAGATCTAGAAATACCACAAACGGATAAATTGTAATAGCAATAGCAGTTAGACATATACCGCTTCATAGGGCTTTCAGCCCTCTCTAAGCGGTTTACAGAGTCAGCATATTGCCCCCACAGTCTGGGTCCTCATTTCACCCACCTCAGAAGGATGGAAGGCTGAGTCAACCTTGAGCCGGTGAACTGCTGAACTGCAGATAACAGTCAGCTGAAGTGGCCTGCAGTACTGCACCCTAACCACTGCGCCACCTCGGCGTAATATTCCAGAAGAGAATGGAAATTTCTATTGAAGGCCACAAACAATCCAGTAACTTGGAAAGCAAGAGCTACTTAACCATATACAGTGGTACCTTAATCCTTAATTAGTTCTGGGAGGCATGGCAATACTAAAAAAGTTGAGTGCCAAATAAACCATGTGACTTACCTTTGTTTCAGCTGAGAAGGACTTCCTATCTGTGTCAGAAATTTTTTCACCATGGCTGATCTCCTGTCTGCCCTTCGTGGCTGCCTCCTGCTTCCTTTGTAATGAACTTCCCAGCATGGCCGACTTTCTGCCCACCCTGTGTGGCTGTCCTCCACTTCCTTTTGCAGTACATTGAGTACCAAACAAATGATAAGTACCAGAACATTATTTTCATGTCCAAAGGAGTCAAGCACCAAATCCAATGAGTTTTAAAGCAGTCAAGTATCAAGGTACCACTGTATTACTAGTTACATCTACTGATATCCCCAACATGAAGAAAAACAAGGAAACAGTTTTAATGAGTAGTTTTTATTTCAAATTATGTATATAAGCTTTAAAAAACAAATAGAAAACTTATTGGTAGAGAGGGAATAGAAAGATAATGACCCTTGTTACAAAATCAATTGCTTGTCTTTTTCCAAGATAGCATCCAATCCAGGGAACCTTTTTTATAGCTAAAGTCAAGTCTTTAAAGGCCTTAACCATCTTTACCAACAATGTAACATTCTAAATACGAAAAAGTTCTGTTTGTGGTTTTAAATATGCACTTCAGTTTTGCTTTATGTGTCATTCTAAAACAATCTACTCAACAATTAAGTAAATAAAAGAATATATGCCATTTAGTTTTCTCCAACCATAAACAACATTATCCCCAAACGTCTCTCCATGGAATTTGGTAAAATATATATGAAACTGCCATGATACATGTTCATCAAAATCTTGAACTCGAGGTAGATCTGTTGGAATAGTAGCAGTGTACTAACTGTTCAAAGGATGTTGCCTAACTTAAGAGGAAGACGGAAGAGTGGGAAATGAACCAAAGCAAATGAGAACCATGTTTTCATCTGTAAGGGGCAATTCAACTGAATCTCTGTAACAAGGTAACATGCATTCTTGTGCAAATTCTTTACATTTCCCTGGAACTTGCATGCAAAATAAATTTGCAAATCTCTCATAAAACAAACCATTCTTTCCATTACTTCAGAGGTCTTCAAACTTGGCAACTTTAAGTCTTGTGGACTTCAACTCCCAAAATTCCGGGACTTAAACTTGCCAAGTTTAACCCCTGCGTTACTTAGTCAATGGCTAAAAGGGCTGTTGACTTGGTAACACATATTTATAAACTTAGAAAAAGATTTATAAAAAACAAACAGGAAAATGAGCAGTGCGTGCTTTTTCTAATTTTTTCTCTCTTCAAGTTTTAAAATTGGTCTTTGTTGTATATTAAAGCCACCAGTAGGAAATGCAAGGAATGTCTTGATTGGCTTAGTGGGAGAATCTTGCTTGTGATTGCTTTGCTGTGCATTTCTGCAGGTTTTGCTAATTTTGTGATTATGGTTAAAGACATCTATATGTCACAACAACTTTAGAATTATGATTTATGATGTACATAAAAATGATTGAGGGGCAGGACACCAGTATCTTTTATGCTGACTTCTGAAATTTCACCAAATTCAATAGCTGTTAAATAGATGCTTAGAGTTTGCTGATTCATACATCTTTATCATTCAGGAAACAACTGCTTATTTCAGAAAAATGGGCAACTGGACACTAGCGAGCAAGCTATTTGACACAAATTGTTTCTAACATCAAACATTTCAGCTTGGCATCTGATAAAATTACTGGGAAAGGATAGTTAATCCCAACATGTTGGGATAGAAGGAGTAGGCATGTTTCCAATAGTTTAAATCTGAAATTAGAACAACATACAAGATATATGCCAGTCTTCAAGAGGCTTTTGTAGTTTTCTACTATAATGCAGAAAAGTATCTGTGTTTAAAACCAGGGTTTTACTTCATGGGATGTTATGCAGAGGAAAATGCATAAATGTGCTCTTGGATAAGGCAGCTTCCCTGCACATGTCAAGAAAAACAGGACTCTGAAAGCACTAGAAACCCATACATTTTTTATAGACTCTTTATATATATCTTTATTTATATATATATAAAATATATACTAGCTTGAGGGGGCAGTCTTCCAACCTCATTAGTTTTTGTATGCTGCTCATGGGATATCGAACAATATAGCACTGAAAAGCTTGTAAGTGGCAATAAAGTGACCGCTGCAATATTAGTATTTTTCTGCCACTATTGGGTGGGATGTCCTGCACAAGGGAAAAAGATAATTGGCTTTAGTAAACTATAGCAATGATAATAAAAACACTCATCCAGTAGTGCTTGTAAATCACTGGTGTTTCCTTATGGCCTTGCCTTTGAAGAAGTTCATAGTTCATTTAAGATATAAATGCCACAGCACCATAAAAATGAATCTGAATTATCCTGAGAAGCCATTTACTTTGAAGGAAGGTGGAGAAAATGGTCTCAACAAATGCAAAGTTTATGCTTCTCAGTTTCTCTCCAATGGCTGGCCCCTTCCTGAATATACACAAATTTGGAAGAAAAAAGGCATGTCAAAATAAGGACGTGACAGAATCACCAAAAATCAAGTTTTTTTTCTCACTTAAATCTTCAGAAATCATCTTCAAGGAACTAGAAGAAAACAGTGCCCAGGAAAACATATACAAAGTTCACAAATAATTAGGACAACTGAGAGGTCCAGTTTGGTCTTCATTCACTGTAATAAAGCTTACAGAAGAGGAACCATTTGGTGGATTGAGACTAAGATGTGATCATGGAAGCTTTGAAGTTTCACTGCTAGGATGATTTGCTCAGGAAGAGAAATAAAAGTGAATGAATGGAAATTCTGAGTGCAACCTCTTATAATAACCAGTCATCTGATTTTGGAATCAATGCTTTTGTCAAAAGTATTTTAAGGCACTTCAGTAGGTATTTTAAATATATCTGTAAGTATAAAAATAAAGTAAGTGCTGAGGCAACATTCATATAGGATCATCTTTTGCATTGTCTCTGTGTATGTACAAAATAGGACATATATACATTCACGAGGGCTGTTCCATTATACTTTCACTGGTACTTTGGGCTGCCTTGTTAATTTCATTGCCTGAAAAACATCAAACCAAAGGTCAATTTATTGCCTTTTTAAAATCACAATTAAACAACAATAGAACATATCTTTAAAATAATGACTATTAACTGTTGGAATATTCCCCGGGCACTAGCAGTGACAGGAGATACAAGGCTCTAGCCGCAAGTTACAAAATTAATTCCTTGTAGTATTAGTAGTTTCCTCTTCTTTTACTGAAATAATGTCAAGAACAAATTTATGTATCTCTCAGATTACTAGCAATCAAAACTTGTAGTTTTGTTACAAATGTCACATCATAACTTCGTAGTATCACAACTTGGCTTAACATTTTTTTTTCCTATTGTGACATTATTTTGTGTTTCTGCCCTCCCTGGCAAAATATATTACCATTTTAGGCATTTGCACAAATAACAAATGAAATAAGTCATCTAGCATAATCTAAATAATGAGAGCTGGTAACATTTACTTAGAGTGAGGTCCTATTTTTATAGGAACTTTTTAAAGGAAAAAAATATTTGGTCTCTCCGGAAGAAAACAAGATATTAAAGCACAAAGGATTTGTAGGGATTCTGACCCTACAGAAAGTATGATTCCTCCCCCCCCCCAATACTGTATGATTGCAAGATTGTGTATTCGATCATGGAAGTAAAAATTTAAAAATTTCATAACATATTGAGAAAGCAAGATCTTTGTTTTCATACATAGCACATCCCGTGGTACCATTTTTCAAGCTTGTTGGTAAAGCTTCAAACAGTTAAATTCTTTCAAACAATTAAATTTGGCCTTATTTAGGATTTCATTGAAAGAGAATATAGCTTTCTGCTTTAGCGAAATACCAAAATGAAATGAAGGAAATAAGCACCAAAACATGATGCTATATTTATTTGAAAAGCAGGAAACCATTTTTATACACATCAAAATCAACTGTAACTATTTTTTTTTAAAGAAATCTGTATGCAATCTTAACCCAAACTCATCCAACTATAATAGTGGTTACTGTAAATTATGCAGAGAAACAAGGAAAAAGACCCTCCCTCTCAAACACACACACACACAATACTATATATAAAATAAGTACATAAAAATAAAGCTAAATTGATAAATATATTTTGAATCCTTCTTTATTTACTTACTTTTTCAATATGTCCGATTGCTAATGTGCATCTATGTTTAGCACGTTTGTTTTTTCTTTCTGGCTAGTCTAGTATTTTCTCAGAGCAATCTAGAATATCCTACTGTAAAAATAGTTTAGAAGAGTTCTATTGATCATCTCTACAACTATACAGAATCTAAAGTGTCTCTTCTGATTTATTGGATGTTTTAATTACTGCTGTTTGCCCCCAGCCTCCTGGTGATCTCATTCCATTTCTTAATACCCATTTCTGTACTATTTAGCAAAGATGGAAATATTTTAAATCTTCCTTCAGCTACAAAACAACAGTCTATTCTCAACATTTGCGCCATCCAACACATTGCTTAGAAATACCGTCAAATGTGTTCCAATCTTTGTTCTGTTTCAGATTTATTTCACAGCATTAAGACTACTTGTTTAGGGACATTTTATTCCAGCATTAACAATTTAATGGTAAATCATACTTTTCAATAATTGTTTCTCTTCTTTATTCCAAATAGTGAACTTCATGGGGTCATGATTTCTTACCTTTTGTCTAGAAATCATCCAAGATTTTATTGTTGGTACCAAAATGCTGCCAAGGAGGATCTGGGCGGGGTGATATATAAGTAATGGGACTGAAATTAAGGACAGATGCTTGTAGCCTTCAAATACTATCTTCAGCATTGGTATACCTGTGGGCAGAAATATAACTAAAATTAAGAATCCTTTGATGATTTTTCTGAGCTAAGAATTGCAGGAAAACCCATTTATAACAAAAAGGTACAAAAATAAAGCAATAAATTAAAAGATCATTGAATTATAATGCAACATATAATTAAATATAACAATGTATAATATAGTCACAGTACATTATTACCACACATTAATATAACATATTATATAATGATCATACAATAGATTTTGGTGGGAATATATTTGAGTTTTCTTTTCCAGTGTGTCTGCCATGCATTCTTCTGGTCTTGTCTGCTTTTAATTCTGCACTCTAGAAAGAGTGCAGAGAAGAGCTACAAAGATGATTGGGGACTAGAGATTAAAACATATGAAGAACAGTTGCAAGAATTGGGTCTAGGGAAAAGAAGGATTAGGGGTGACATGATAGCAATGTTCCAATATCTAAGAGACCACCACAAAGAAGAGGAGATCAACCTATTCTTCAAAGAACCTGAAGGGCAGGACAAGGAGTAATGGATGGGAACTCATCCAAGAGAGAACCAACCTAAAACTAAGGAGAAATGTCCTGATAGCTAGAACAATTAATCAGTGGAACAACTTGCCTCCAGAATAGCAATAACACTTAGACTTATATACCGCTTTACAGTGCTTTTACAGCTCTAAGTGGTTTACAGAGTCAGCATATTGCCCCCAACAATCTGGGTCCTCATTTTACCCACCTCGGAAGGATGGAAGGTTGAGTCAACCTTGAGCCTGGTGAGATTTGAACTGCCACATTGCAGGCAGCTGGCACTCAGCAGAAGTAGCTTGCAGTACTGCACTCTAACCACTGCGGCACCATTGTGGGGATTCCAACACTGGAGGCTTTTGAGAAGAGGTTGGACAACCTTTTGTCTGAAGTGGTGTCGGGTTTCCTGATTGAGCAATGGGATGGACTAGAAGACCTTCCAACTCTGTTAATTGCTTTTAATCTGATGCTTTTAACGCTAGGTATAAACTATCCAGAGTCACTCTGTATTATGGGAAAGCAAAGGTAAAAACAGGACTGTTGCAAAAGCTCAGCTCAGAGGTATGGGATGGGGGTAGAAACAGGCTCAGAATCCCCCCAATTATGCCTGGCATTGATTGAACAGGAAAATTACTTTGACAGGCTTTCATTACCCTGCTAGCAGTAAAGACCCGTCTAGAAATAGCTTATCTCTAAGTAGCCTTCTTGTAGTGCTTTGATACTCTACGACTGAGAGAACATAGAACTTAGAAACATTCTATAAGTATGTGAGAAAATATGAAAAAGTGATATTTTAAAAAACAGAAGTCATATGTCACAAGAAATAATTCCCATTTAGGGAAATTAAACATCTTCAAATACTATAACTATCTTCTTATATATAATTTTTTATTATATTATATTATTTTGTGTGTGTGTGTGTGCGTGCGTGCATGAGTGCGTGCTTTTCTTCTGTCAGAGCACCTGGTCTATCCAAAGGTGGGAGGGATCATACTGCTTCCCTTTCGCCTTTCATCCCTATTGCAGAAGGCTTCCAGGCAGTCGCTTTCACGACAAACTATTTTGAGTTACATTTTTGCTGATGAAGAAATGAAAGGAGACTATAGTATAGAAAGGGAAGCAATATGCGCCCTTCCATATTTGGGTAGACCAGGTGCTCTGACAGAAGAAAAAAAGCATTTAATCTCTCCTCTGGCTCAGCAAATAAAGGGAGAACTTGTAGCTTAGAGGTTAATACAACTGTCTAATATGTAAGCAGTCCAAGTTCGAATCCCAACAAGGGTATCGCTAGCTGATGAATAAATAGCTGATGAGCTAAATAGCTTGAAATAGATCTATACTAGTTTCCCTTCATTTCTTTATACACAAAACTCTATCATCTATCTATCTATCTATCTATCTATCTATCTATCTATCTATCTATCTATCTATCTATCTATCTATCTATCTATCTATCTATCTANTCTATCTATCTATCTATCTATCTATCTATCTATCTATCTATCTATCATCCATCCATCCATCCATCCATCCATCCATCCATCCATCCATCCATCATAATTCTGGAATGCCTAAAGCAATAACAACCAAACTTGGTACACAGATGACTTAACTCTCTGGAAAGTAATACTGTGGGGGTAAGACACCCCTAACGCCCCCCCAAGGTTTGTTAAGATGCAGCATGTTGTACCTTTCAGTGATTTCTACTGTATTGCCGTAACTCTGGAGCACCTTGAGCAATTTCAAGCAAACGGTACACAGATGACTTTTTCTCTCTGGAGAAAAATATTGTGGGGGTAAGACACCCCTAACACCCCTCGAAGTGTGTGTTCTGCTAAGATGCAGCCTGTTGTGCCTTTCAATGGCTTCTACTGTACTGCCATAAAATGGCTTCTACTGTACAGCATAATGGATTTGCCATGGCAACGGCTTCACAGTACTCCACAAGGGGGTTCCCTCTGGTAAGGGGAAAAATCCAACATTAGAAATTACATTTGGTCCGGACAAATAAATAAATAAATAAATACTTGTGCAACACCAGGTTATCACCTAGTGGTACAATAAAGTGGGATGATGGGTGGTGACAAGGGTGATGGATCAACAGTTTTCCTGTTGAGCTCTGTCAATGCAATTTATTTGGTTTAAATAGCCTTATGATATTTTATTTGGTTTAAATGGCTTAGCTAAACATAAGGTGAGATGTTTTGCATGTTCCACAACTAGGACTGGAATTTCTGCCACTAAGCAAATTGGTCATATAGCACATAAAGCTCGGTGACAGCAATCTTGGCATTCCCTATTGCCAAATTCCATGAATTGTTAGACAAGGACCCACCCCAATCCAAGCCATTCTGGGCTTGATCCTCCCAGGCTGAATTACTACTGTGGACTGTACTCTAAATGCTGCTACCAAATTACTTCAGACCCTAGTAATATTTTAAGTTGCAAATATCAATGCAATTATTGTACTTTGTAGATCTTTATAGATTTGTTAGGCATTTGGGTGCATCATGCAGGTGTTTTTTGTTAAATGCAGAGGGGCGCATCAGGATTGTGTTTGATCTTAAGGGGATAGGGTGGGCGTGGCCAGCACAATGTCACTTGTGTTGGCGCTTGTGGTGACCTGAGCGCTCTGCCAGCAACCCTCTGCCAGTTAAAAGGAAGCTCGGGAGGGCCGTGTGCATATTTCACTGTTTCCAGGGCAGCCCCATGGGGGCCAGATCTAAGCACTTTGAGGGTGGATCCGGCCCATGGGCCGTGAGTTTGATACTTCTGGTTTAGGGAGTATTTAAAACAGTAAAAATCTATGGTTTTTGTTGGATTGGTTTCTTGCACTTTACCATCCATGTTCTTGTGTCCTATTGATGTTTAATGTCAGGATACATTTTCATGTAAATTTATAGAACTTGGGGCTGCGGGTTTCAATTTTCTTATATTTAGTATCATTTTTTGCAGCTGTAAAACTGACATACGCACAAATTCAGCTCAGAGCAATACAAGCGTTTTAAAGACAACCACAAAACCTTTTACAAAATAAAAAGCAAAAAAGTCCTCTATTACTTTAACCTCTTTGCACAAGAGTGGAAAGTCTTTGCCTAGTGCTAGTTATGGCCTACTCTAAAAAATATAACTAAATGAAACTATTAAGAAATCTACAAAAAAGAAATGACTGAAAAAGACTGCACCCTTTGGCACAAAAAGATGTTCTTTTTTAGAGCACACATGACTTCAGTTCAACCCAGTAGAAAATTAGTAAGTATACAGTATGTGTCGTATGCTGATACCCCACATACTTTCACATACAGCCATCTGTTTTCTTGTTTTTTTCACAACTGTTTCTTTTGCAATCATTATCCTCCGTGAAAATAGCATGCTGAACTTCACACCATTTTAAAGCTATAATTGTAAAAACAAATGGGCAAATTCCATCTTGCTCTCCTTGAAGCTACAGAAATGAACAAATCAGCGTTAATGCCTCAGGTGCTGCGTCTGTGTCACCATTGCTGACAGGATCCAAGCAGGCTTCAGGAGATAGCATTTGACTTTATGGCACTCTACATGCATTTACAATGTTACAGGAATTTTAAAACTGACATGCTGAAGAATGTTTATAAATCATTAATAAAAATGCCTCTTTAATACCATGCATTGTTTGAGAGACGTAAGGAAGCACATCCCTAAATGGTTTTCTTTCTGACTAATGTAATTTATACAAAAAAAATTGCCCCCACTGTGTACAAGTATAACCAAGGATAGATAAAGAGCATCATCTCAGCACATTACTACCTGATCCAATCACTTGGGAAATCCTAATGTACAGCACATCCTATTTCCATGTTACACATGACACATTTGTCTAAAATTACTCAACAGATTTTGACATTGCAACGTAGAGCTTTCAACTGTCATCTCCCAAGCAGGAAATCCATGTAAGAGCAACAAGGATCTAAGGATTTATTTTATCCCAGACCTATGACAACAAAGATAACACACGAAGAACCAACGTTTACATTCTCACTTCCCTACGTCCACTCTCTATTTTGACATTTTTATTTTATGTACCTTGATTTCTATAATTTCTTCAGAGTAGAAACTGAAATACAGGAAATTCATCGTGCAAAATGAAATTGTTATTTGGCCCAATTCTTATTTATTCTAGTAGTTGGAGTTCTATTTCTTCAGTAGTCACATCAAAGCAATTCATCCTTTTACTACTCAATTGCACTCCAAATCACCTTCATTTATTTACAGTACTGTTTACTGTTTACTACATTTATAGGCCGCCCAATCCCAGAGGACTCCGGGTGGCTTACAGAAATAAAAATTAAGAAAAAAATTAAAAACAAATAAAACAAATAACATAGCAGATTAAAAGACACACAACATGCACCCAGTCTAAGCGGGGCTGGACCTCAATCAAGAGGTCAACAGCCCCAGGCCTGCTGGAATAGCCAGGTTTTAATAGCTTTTCGGAAGTCCATGAGAGTGGGT